GAGGAGCTGGAGGATCTGGTGCACTTCTCCGTGTCCGAGTTGCCTAGTCGCGGCTACGGCGTCATGGAGGAGATCCGGCGGCAGGGCAAGCTGTGCGACGTGACGCTCAAGGTACCGAAGGCTGGGCGGCGCGGGGCTGAGGGAAAAGGGACCGACTGAGGAGGAAAGAGGGGCGGGGCCGGTAGGGGAAGCGAGGTCTAGCGAACGCGGGGTGGGGAAGGGAGGTTTGAGGGCGAGCGGCAGAGGAGGATTGGGGTTGAGTGGGGCGGTGGGCTGGCACAGCCTCAGCCCTGAGAGGGAGAGGCCGAGAGGCGCGCCGCCGAGGCCCTCAGAGTGGGAGACGCCGGGGTGCCCGCCCCCCTTATCTGTCACAGACGAGAGAAAACGCGCTTGCAGCCCCTCCATAGAGGAAGGGGTGGTGGCCATCTCTACATTCTGACGGGCGCCACCGAAGCACCTGCTCTTGTCTCCGTAGACATTGCTTCGTGCCCCTCGAAGTTAGCTCTGTTGTAGAGGCGCAGGCTTTTTCCTGAGCGGTCATTGCTTGCCCTTGATGGTGAGATTACCACCTGTCTCTTAAGAACTTTTAAAATCGGATCTGGAAATCTTTCGAGGTAGACAGCTGCTCTGCCCCACACTGGGAGGTTCACCGCCACCGCCACCGCCGCAAAGGTCGCGGAAAATGGACTGATGGGTTGCGTGGGGCGGGATCTCTTAACCACCGGTTCCCTGCTGGCATTCTGGGCGCGAGAGCCAGCCTTCCTCCTGTGCTTTGCATTCATCCCTGTTGGAGAGGCATGCTGGGCTGCCCCTTGGCCACGCTGCTGAGCCATGTGGAGCCTGGAGCCCTCCAGGTGGGGGGATGCTGCTGCAAGTCGTGTTCACAGTTGGGCTTTGGCTGGAAAGCTCTCGGCATCTGTGGAGGACCCGGTTTAAAAGCAAAACAATACTATACAGAGCTCTTTTTGGCTCTTATTATTTTCTGCAGGGTTAAGGAAACTTTTTCTTCCACAGATTTGAGTCAAACCTCTGGAGACAGTAGAGTAGAATGGCTAAGTGTGACTTTGGTGATTTAAGGATTTGGATTAAAATCCTAGTTGTAACCTTGGGCAAGTTACTTAATTTCTCTGAGCATCGGTTTTCCAAATGCAAAAACAGAGATGATTCCTAATTATCAGTATTAGTGTGAGGATTAAATGAGGGCATCTGTGGTATTCTTTGCATAATGCCTGGCATAAGTTTTTCATCACTCTTAAGTGTTATAGAACAGAAAGAGTTGGTCCATGTAGCGCTAGCAGTGCCAAACACTAAACACCGAAAATTGCAGTGGAGAAATATTGGCTATTTTATTGATGAATGGCCCCATCCAGGAGAATGGGAAGCTAATGCTCAAGAGCCCGAATCATGTAGGTTACAGATTATATAGGGCAGAGTCACAAGGCACCATGGGTTAGGGTGACTGGGGGCTCTTGCTTCTATATGCAGACCTTCACTTATTCCGCCTGAGTGGTGCCACTCCCTTGTCTTCAGTGGTACCTTCGTTACCCAAGTCTGGAGCCTCTAGTTTATCCTGTCCAGTTTTCTGCTGGGACAGTAGCAGAGCAGTTTCTTGCCTGATGGGGGGACTAGCTGCCTGTTTTCAGGCTTCCTTAATGCCCACACCTCGACAGGAAACCTGTGTGTCTCCAGCAGTGGGGTTTGGGAGGGGATTCGGCAGTGGCTGGCCATCTGCAGCACTCAGTATACTCCATCTAAGTCAGTTACTAATTTGTCCGCTTTTCATGTTCCAAAATTTGATAACATTTCTAATCTCTCTCTCTTTCAGCTTCTTTTTCTTTGGGAGCTTTGCTATTCCTTTATTGTCAGTCTGAGAGGTAGTGCACATAGCACAGACTTGAGCCTGACTGCCTGGGTTTAAATCCTGGCTCTGCCACTTATTGGTCGTTCCTTAAACCCTGATGATTCAGTTCCTCCATCTGTAAAATGGGGATCTTCACCTACCTAATAAAAGTGTTAAGGTTTTGCCCTGGCCGGGTAGCTCAGTTGGTTAGAGCGTGGTCCCAACACACCAAGGTTGCAGGTTTAATCCCCAGTCAGGGCACATACAAGAATGAACTAATAAATGCATAAATAAGTGGAACAAAAAAATCAGTCCTTCTGTGTGTGTGTGTGTGTGTGTCTGTGTCTGTGTCTCCCTCTCCCTCTCTCTAAAATCAATAATTTTTTTTTTAAGTGTTAAGTCCTAGCCAGTTTTGCTCAGTGGTTAGAGCATTGGCCTGCNCTGTGTGTGTGTGTGTGTGTGTCTGTGTCTGTGTCTCCCTCTCCCTCTCTCTAAAATCAATAATTTTTTTTTAAAGTGTTAAGTCCTAGCCAGTTTTGCTCAGTGGTTAGAGCATTGGCCTGCGGACTGAGGGTCTGGGGTTCAATTCTGGCCAAGGGCATGTACCTGGGTTGCAGGCTCAATCCCAACCTGGGCCACACGGGAGGGTCAGCCAATCGTGTCTCTCTCACATTAATGTTTCTCTCTCCCTTCTACTCTTTCTGAAAAGCAGTGGAAAAAATATCCTCGGGTGAGAAATAAAAATAAAAAAATGAAAAAAATGAAAGCGAAGAACTCTCCCTCTCCCCAGAATAGTGTATGTATAATGTTGCATTCAGTCTTGAGAGCAGTTCCCCTGAAGCCCATCTTTGGATCTTGGGTCATGAATCCAACTGAGTAGTATTCTGTCAGAAAAAGCCCATGGTCCTTCCTCTTGGCAAGTCATTTTATCCTAATGGTTACAAGGATAGTAGTGCAAGCATTCTTGGCAACCTGTAGCATAAGGCTTAGTCTGGATACAAAGGCTTGCATCCACAGAGACCCTCAGCTCTTCCTTCCAACATTTGGGTTCATCTTTCCTCGGGGCCACCTGGAGCCAAGTGCTCAGGCCACATCTGTCAGGTTCATCTGGGTCCAGGAAGTTGGGCAGACTCCCCAGATTCAATGAGTGTTCTCCACAACTTCTCATTCATGAGATCTAGACCCACCAAATTCATTATTTCTATTCTCCCCCACCTCACTTCTTCCTTTTTCGAGAGCAGAACCTGGTCACAAAACCTGCAGACTATTTGCTGACCCTTACGCTTAGGAGAGCTTAGGAGGGNTTTCTTTGTGAGAGCAGAACCTGGTCACGAAACCTGCAGACTATTTGCTGACCCTTACGCTTAGGAGAGCTTAGGAGGGAGGGGTGGTCTTGCATCTGGACATATACATCACTGCCCCCCCACCACCACCACCACACACACACTCTGTTTTGCCATCATTGATAAATGGCTCCTCAAAGATCTGCTGGTATCAGTCTTCCCAGCATTTCCCCAAGGTCCTTGCTGAGGTTTTGAACCCAGATCTGAGGATTTAGCCTCCAGAAGGAAAGTCTTTTTCATGGGTGAAAGGCACAGTATTAGAATATTTCCTTTTGGCCCACTAAATCCAGATATATAATTTTCGCTAAAACTGGCTTCAAGAGCCACACATTTGATTCTGGAATCTTGCCTAATTTGTCACACTGATTTTGTGATGAAACAGTAGGTGGAGAAGGCTATCAGGAAGTGAAGTGAGGACTTGTTGGTGCATGCCAGTTTTATGTTACGTGTAATGCAGTGAGCAACACAGGTATAATTATAGAGCTAGAATAATCATATTAAAAGGAGTCGTGGAGGTTTTGTATCAAAACCATTTATTTTACAGATGAAAAAACCCTGAGGCTTAGAGATATTAAGGGATTGCCCGAGGAAAAAGCTATATTATCTCAGCTCCAACACAGCTGTTTGTTAGTGGAAGCCATGCTTTTACATCCTCTGTAGGATTACTCACCTGCCCTGTTGATGGCATGAAGCAAATCAGGGAACAAACATCATCTGCAGTGTTATCCCAGAGTACGGTGGGCAGTGATGTATGTGTCCAGATGCAACACCACTCTTTTGTCGCGTGAGTGAAGAAAGATGGAGGCTTTCTCTGCTAGACTTCTGGACATACTGAATTCTTGATTCCTTTGATTTTGAAATGACACCGTATTGGAAAACTTGTGCTTCTGATTACAGTTCACTCCCAGGGTTTTCTGCTGGCTCTTTTCAGGTAGTGGTGTTTATTTTCAGCCTTGCCTCTTTTTAATGAGCAGTTAGAACTGAGGGGAAGAACATGCGTTTTGAGAGGATGTGCTCTTGTGATGTGAATTCATATGCATCCAAAAGTCAGTTTTGCTCTCTTTCTTCAAGTTATGTTGTAGGCAATGCTATTGAATTTGGACACCAATTAGATGAATGAGAGAGCTTGATGCTGCCTGACACATGGGTGGGAAGAGAGTTGGAGGAATCTTGGAAATCAGTCACCAACCAAGCAACCTTCATGGGGTTCACCCTGAGACTTCTGGAGCTTGGCCGGCTGGCTGGGTAATTTAAGAAGCTTGTGTCTGGAGATGTTTCTTACTGTAGGTGGTTTCTTTATTATTTTGTACGAGACTCCACTGTTAACCTTGTAGGCTGGTTGATGGAAAATGAGACCACATTGTTTTTCTAAAGGTGTGTTCTGAGCCCCTCCTAAATTACAAGTATGGCATCTACTTTCCTACTTTTGATTTGTTGAGTATTGCCACTCCCATTGCCTCCTTAGTATGTTACCAGCCAGCTTCCCCCACAGTTAGTTTAGTAACGCCTTTTCTACCCAGACAGTTGATCATATCACCACTTGTTTCCAGTTGGGGAGAATGAACCAATATGTGTGACCCAAGAGTTGGCAAGCATTTTCTGTAAAGAGCCAGATAGTAAATATTTTAGGATTTGTGGGTCATACAGTTTCAGTTGCAATTACTCAACTCTGGTGGTGTAGCACCAAAGCAGCTGTACACAGTACATAAGTGAATGGGTATGGCTGTGTTCTATTAAAACTTTATTTACAAAAACAGGCATGGGCCAGATCCATTGGCTCTAGTTGGCTCACTCCTGTTGTATACTGATATGGCCTTTGTAAAGTTTAAGGCTTTTGGAGTAGGTTACCCTTGCTTTATTGTCCCAGCATACACTTCTTCAGTTTCAACACAGTATCTAGAAATTGGAAGCATCTCTTGTTAAAGAGT